AAGTAAACTTTTTTTTTGCTGTAGAATGTCTTAATTTTTAAAACCAGCTAATCTGTACCTCATTAGCTGATCCAAAATATTTCCTTGACTTCAATCTAAAAGATTGCTTTGGCATTGTTATATTCCAAATTATGGAGCTTATTGAGCAGACCCTTGAGAAATTTTATAAAGATTACAGAATAATTACCTATATGTGTTCAACTCAATCTAATGTCTGTTTTAAGTAGGATATTTTTATAAATGTAAGGAGCAACTGTAATAGTAAGTTGGTTACACCTCAGATAAGGCAGAAATAAGAATTGCTATAGATTTTAATTATCTTTATACATGTTCATGATACCAAATTTAACTAATACAGGGGGGAAAAAAGAGTATGTCATCTACTGAAGAACAGGGTATGAAAGGATTTAAGAAAATGCCTACTGAATAAATCAAGCTACATTTAAAGTGTATAATTTTAAATTTAATTTTTTCTCTCATGCTTTAATGTTACTGTTTTAGCTCCTCGAGGTTTGAAGGATCCCTTAATATGGACCTCAATGAAATCAGCATGAATTTAGTTCCTTTTCCTCAACTGCATTATCTTGTGTCAAGCCTAACACCTCTGTATACACTGGCAGATGTTAACATTCCTCCTCGAAGGTAAGCTATAGTAACTTTATTCCAGTTACTTGAGAACTTGAGATACCTTTTTTTAAAAAAATTTTTAAGAGAAAAGTTTATAATGACTATTTCTTCATATCATTTTCTTTGTGAGTATATAAAATTGATGGCAGCCATTTTTCCATTATATGAATGCTTCTTTATTTAGAAGTCATTGTTTAAAAAATTTCAATATTAACTATTTGAAATTAAATCTAATAACTAAATTTCTCAATAATAAATATTAGTTCTGTACCTAATTCATTTTTATCAAATGAAAATAAGACATGAGTATGTTTTTTGAAATTTCGTATTTCTAATGTAAATAAAGGTAAGTATCCAATAGTTATAAATACCTGCTTACTAGTTTTTATATTTTGTGACAAAAGGTAAATCAAGAATGAGTTTGACCACTTTTGTTTAGCAGCTCTTAATCTTTTCTGGGTTTCCTTGACTCCATAAAAATTCAGGAAGCACATACACACCAAAATTTTGAATACAATAGTGGAGTATTTGTGAACCTCCCCATAGCTCACCATCTCCTAAGTGAGTCCTCTATCCTTGCTGTAGGATAATCAGGATAGAATGTAGGCTCCATTAAAGCAGGACATTTTTTGTTGGTGTTCACTGCTCGGTCTCTTGCACTAAGAATCATGCCTGACACATAGTAGGCATTTAGTAAATATCTGTCAAATGAGTAGGCAGCATAGTGTGATATCTGTAGTTCTTCCCAGACTTTCTGCAGATTCAGCACACATAGCTCTGGCTCGAGTTACCTAAGGAACCTAATCATATTTGTATTGAATTAAGTGGGGCCATATTAAGGACCTACAAGGCTGTGTATTGATAGATATAAATTTTGTCAGTCACCTGTATCTTCCCCTCTTTAACTGAAGGATTAAAGAATGAAGTTAAAAGGTTTCATTCACTTAAAAGTCTCCCTTTTCAGGAACACTACTATGGAGTTTCATCTTTAATAGAACCTAACACTGTCCTTTGATAGTTTCCTCATTATTATTCCTAACTAATTTATGATATATTTTACAGAGACAAAGTAATTTTCTCTTAATGTTGTAGGCTTTTAGTTTTGATCATTCTGATACTATGAAGTAGATAGGCATACTGAAATAAGTAATAATGACACAAGTTTCCAAAGTCAATCCATAGAGCCCACTCATGATAGAGTTAACATTTTGTAGCTACCTGAAACCATCAATATATTGCAGGAGCTTTTTATTCCAAAACAAAAGATATGTGATTTCCTCTGTTCTTGTATTCCATAAAAGATTGCTTTAAGAAAATCATAGCAGAGATTTAGAATATATTTGCGTATAAAGTTTATTTACCTATAGATGACTGTTTTTTCATTTTATAGTTATACATAGAAGAAAGATGTGATACTTCGTATAGTGACTCTCATTGTTCTAGGTTGGATCAAATGTTCTCAGATGCCTTTAGTAAAGATCACCAGCTAATTCGGGCCGATCCCAAACATAGTCTCTACCTTGCCTGTGCCCTCATGGTTAGAGGAAATGTCCAGATTTCAGATCTTCGCAGAAATATTGAAAGGTTTGATTTTATATTTTTTCAAGATGATTTGTTATGTGTACTGCTTGTGACAGTGTAGCATGTTAGGATGGTCTCTCTTCGAATTTTAACATTGCCACTTAAGTAGGTGTGACCTTGAGCAAGCTACTTAGGCTCTCCAAGGCTTATTTCCCTCAACTGTAGAAGAAGAATAGCACAGAGTTGTTATTTACAAGTACTAAATGATGTGTTTTATTTCCTGAAAGTGTTCAGAAAGTTTAATTATTATGTTTATTACCACCACTACAGTGCTTCTAAGTTTGTTTACTATTTATTAACAGTGTTTTTAGGAAAACTGACGTGTTGAATTACAAAGTAAATTATAGTACCTTTATCCCCAGATTTCTGATGTTAAGGAATGTTTTTCTAGCTTTTTGAATCACCATCACAATCTAATGTCCTCCAACTAAATGTCCAGACTGCACCACAATACTGCTAACAGTAAAAAATGGATAACTTCCGCTATAAACTAATGGTACCATCAGTAATGCAGTAATGTCTAGTTTAATGTGGGCTGCCGTAACATGGCAGACATTTTTAAGTATCTTAATTCTTACCTTGAGTTTTTGCATCTCAGATTAAAACCTTCTCTACAGTTTGTCTCCTGGAATCAAGAAGGCTGGAAGACCAGCCTGTGTTCAGTACCTCCTGTGGGCCATTCCCATTCATTATTAGCTTTAGCAAATAACACGTGTGTGAAGCCTACCTTCATGGAACTGAGAGAGAGATTCATGAGGCTCTACAAGAAAAAGGTGATTATCAGTACACCTTTGTAACTATGTGTGTTTTGGCTATTTAAGATGTATTCCCAAGAATTGTACTGTTACAAATCAGGGTGACCCTGTCTCCTATATTCATTGTACTGATTATAGCTGACGAGCAGAATCTCACTCAGACGATCTAAATGAGAAATCATATGAGTCTACAGGATTTGAGTTTCATTCCTCTTGTAAATCTGAGTGAACTATCATTTTAATAATGTATATGTTCTAGGATAGTTGAATATGTTAAATTTCCTGAAAATAGTCGACATATTCAGTTTATTTATTTATAGGCTCATCTTCATCACTATCTGCAAATTGAAGGGATGGAGGAAAGCTATTTCACAGAAGCTGTGTCATCGCTATCAGCACTCATTCAGGAGTACAACCAACTGGATGCCACAAAAAGCATGCCTGTGGAAGACTTCCCTAGACTGAGCGTAGCTGTGTAAAACAGAACCCAGAAATGCTTTTCCTTTTTCTTCACTTCCCATTGTTTTTGTCATCTTACCTTTCTGTTTCAGAATTTCTGTCATTCAGAAAGCCCAGTTTGTATTTTCCATATTAGGAAGTATTTCTGTCTGAAAGGGTTGTTCCATTTTATGACTGTTTTTTGATAATACCAGTATGTGAAATTAGTAAAGTCCTAGTACCTTAACTTCAAACATTGTCTTCAGAAAATTCCCTTTTTCTAAAATTGAGAGAATAGAGCTCTTCAGCATTTTACTTTATTTATACTCATATTTAGGCATTTATACAATGAGAATCATGTCTTCAATAAAAATCTTGTACAGATATATTTTTATATTTATTTATAATTTATGTTTTCATATTGTTTAAATTCTTCTGATTCTTTAAAAATAATTACAGGGAGTTGGAGACCACAATATAAATATTTCTGTGTAATATCCACTAACTTCAGGGAGAGGCTTTATTACAACTGTCGAGGTTTTGTTTCTTCTTTGGATAACCTCGTTTGCACTCAGAAGAATCACAGTTTACATTTATTTTAGCATGTATTTGTATTCAGTTATTTTTAAGTATAATGCTTTATCAAACTCATTGACTTTATAATAATAAATGTTCATATTTTTAAACAGTGCTACTTGTTATCATTGTTTTGCTTGTCACCATTTATACAAACAAACATTACAAAGCTTGGTGTCTTCTTCAGACTTTACAGTAAATGGCCATCATGGTCTAGTGAAAGTGTTCCAGTTACTATACTCTCCAGTTTTAATCTTTATCTTTAATCACAATTTATATTTTAAATCCATATGTGGATTTATCATTTCAGAAAGTAATTTTTAGGAACAACTTAATTTTCAAGCCGAAAAATTTTGTTGTGTGCCTTCTTTAGTGTAACGTCATTTTCAAAGTAAGGATACTGCTCTTGGTCTTTATCTTGGATATTTTGTTTTTTATAGTATTTGGTATAAAAACTAAATTACAGTTGTCAGTAGTAGCCAATGAAATTCCATTTTCTCCTTTCTAAAGAAATCTTAATACACTGATATTCAGGATAGGGCAATGGAAATTATAAATATGTTTACAGTTTAACCTTACTCCTATTTAGGAATTAATCAAGAATTTTGTTCACCTTAAAATTATTACCATTTGAATGGAACCTAGGCTACATTGTTGAAGTGCAGATAAAGTTTTAAATTTTCAATATGCTTTTTACTCACCTTCAACCACGTATTCCAGATTATTTTATACAATAAAATGCTTCCTTATAAACTGTGTAGTTTTTCCATTATATATGGAAAATGTAGGTGGAACAAAGTATCTGTGTATGATATGATTATAAGGTACATTTTAAAGTAAGAGGTCAATTTTAAGGTTTTCAAATTTTACATAGATTTGTAGGAGAATCTTTTTAAAAGCTCCTAATGCTTTAAATACAGTCATCTGAAAATAGCTGGGCATTCTTACTATTTTAAACCAATAAGGTAGTTTTGCCACCTTTTTAAAACCATTTTAACTTTCTGATGTAATGATATGATTAACCTAAGTTTTCCCCCATGTGCTTGGCTTTATAGGATCTTGAGCTCAGAAAATACATCTCCTGGATCTCTGCAATTTCTCTGACATACACAAGATGTGATCCACAGCATCTTCCATTTAAATGACCCTTCATTTGGGCAATCAAATTGAATGGTAATCATTTTAGACTTATTAGGAACACAGCATCTCTTATCCAAGCATATTCCACAGAAAGTGGGTTTATAACTCTGAGTGCTTGAACATCCAGAAAAGACAAATTTTTCAGCTTTGAAGAGTTGGAAAGTAGGTTGACAGGTTTTTCCTTTGGGGATCTAAAAAGATATATAACATTAAGAAGTCATTCTTCAAATTTGATTACAATAGATTAGAAAAGTGATACTAAACAGAACATTTTACAACACGAACACACAGACATAAATTATTTCCAGGGCATTAATAGCTGCTATTTAGTAACTTTCAGCACTTTCTTTTCTACGTTTAAAATCCCTTCTCACCAGAGGTGTCAGTCCTCCCTGTCCTGGCTCTGTCATGTTATAGGACCCAGTCCCCAGTGATTATTGCTGTCTACCTTTTACCTCGCTCCACAATAAATGAAAATTTCTCTGTTTTGTTTAATATCAAGAGCTAAGTCTTATTAAATGTTTATTTACCTACAAATTAGCAAATTCCCTTACACAGCTCAGACAGTTTTGAGTGCAGGAATAGGTGAATAAATATGTTCATCCCTTTAAAACTGAGTTAACTTCTAATAGTGAATAGCAGGGATGAGAAGTGTTTGTAGCATTTGTAAAAATTACTCTTGAGACGGTCATATTGCATAGTTCTAGAAATAAAACGAACACTAGTTATAAGAGTATTTTATCAACATTGATAAGTACTATCTAAGCACAGTATTTTAGAAATGATGTGGTTCCCCCTCCAAGTTGGTGATATTTAACTAAGATCAGAACTTCTGTGATATCTATAAAGTCTGTTTTCATAATTATGTAACAGTCAAAATCTTTTATCCATTGCTTTGATTTCACTACATAAAATTAATATAGAAATAAGTTAGATTCTAAAAAGGATCTACTCTTAAAAAACAGTTGGTAGAGTACTGTAACAGTTCAGGCTGATCATGACCCGCACTATTAAACAGGTGATAAAATTTTCCCCATAAAATGCAGTTAGAGTAATAACTGCTTTCTGCTGAGATAGTTTGACTTTAAGAGTTATAATAAGGTGATTTTATTTTTATGAGACCCAAATACCTTCCATCCCTCCAAAACACACATATATGTGCACATATTTTACAGGACTCTATTAATATTGAATTATAATGAAGTTAAATCTAATTAAACTTTACCTTTACTGTCTTTAATATATTACTTTCACAAGGCTGAATATAACACAGTCTTTTCTCTTTTCTCATTTGACAGCTGTTATTTTCATTGGTTACCCTGTTCGAAATTCCCATCCCACATGTTCTGGAGCAAGGGGTCCACTTCGTTGCTTGCACAAGACATTTTCTTTTCCAAATAAGTGGGAGATGCCTATAAGCTAAAATAAAGGTGGGAAAGTTCATGTGTTTACATATATATGTACTCATGTAGATAGATTTTTTTAATCATTTTTAATAGTATTTAATAGATCTGAACCTTTATTTTTATATAATGTAACTCAGAATAAAATAAGCTTATGGTCTAATTCACCATTCTCCCACTCCCAAATTACTTTTCAGTCAAGTGTTACAGCCCAATTTTTTAGAAAGAATAAAATTCTTTATCTTTGAAAAACAGAATAGATACCATTTGCTTCTTTCTGCTTAGCCCATCCTCTGAGTACTAAAGCTTATGTTCTGATGGATATCTGCCTTTTCTCTGGTTCTTGCCTCATGCTTGATATTTCCAACAGACATTGAAATAGACCGTAGTAGGATTAGGGAATTTAAAATATCAATCAGAATGATGTGGTTTTAATGTTAAATTTCATGATATGTTAAAATCTAAAATATAACAGTTATATTTGAGAATTAAACTATCAGTAAAACCAGTTATTTTTCTTCCACTTGTTTTAATCTAGTCTTGTAGAAAACATATTACACTGAACTAATCTAAACGCTCATATGTTAAGTCATGGCAAATGTGTACTCTATTTTAGTCACTCATTCGCTGCGGTGTCAGGCCTGTGGTATCTCTCCATTGGCTAGCCATTTCAGTCACTCGGGAAGGCATGGAGAATGAGTGGATGGACGCACTTATGG